ACCAGCCTGCGCATCTGTGCAGTCTGATCTGGATCCATGCTGGTCGCAAACCTACAATGTTGGTTTTGTCGTGACAAGGCTCAAATATGTATAATACATTTTGCAAAATGATTACATGAACACATTGCATGAGCACTGCATAGAAAGATGAAAAAATACTTTCCTTTATTAAATGTTCTAAAAATAAAATGCTTCCCATTGGTCAGTATTCTTTACTTTATTACATGTTCTATAAATAGAATGCTTTCTATTGGTCAAAATCCTATGCCTACTATTACCATGCAAGAATATAACAATTAACTAGAATATTTTCAAAAGTAATTTTTATAAGAGGTATTATTGAAATTTGTTTGTTTAAAAGAAGAAAAACAATTCATTAGAAATCCATGCAAGATAAGATAATCTTATTAAGGAATAAATGTTTCAATTTTAAAACAAAGATGCATGCATAACCTTAAAACAGTAATTCACAAAAGTTGACCCAATATTCTTTATAAAATTAAAGTCTTCAAACAAGGTTTCTATAAATAGAACACAGCTTTGAAACGCAGACTTGTGCTTTAAATGTAATAGTAATAATGTAATAAACTGAAAAGACACTTTGAAAGTGTTTTTGTTTTTTTTTACTTAAGCTAGAAAATAAAAATGTACGATGTAGTTTCAATGTAAAAAATAACATTTCAAAATATAGAAAAAAGCTTATGAAACTAAAATAACACAACCATATGAGCCGCGTCACGACAAAACCAACATAATGGGTTTGCGACCAGCATGGATCCAGACCAGCCTGGATCCAGACCAGACTGCATGGATGCGCAGGCTGGTCTGGATCCATGCTGATCGCAGACGCACTATGTTGGTTTTGTCGTGACGGGGCTCAATTATATTTCTAAGGTTATACAATCACTTTATTAAATAATAATCTTCTCCACTGGAGAACCAGCAAGTCACAAAATATTTGTTTTGAAATTCTATCTTTAACAACCAATGTCATTTCAAGACCTGTACCCTTATCCAAAATCATGCAATTAAACTGGTTTTAAAGAATATAATAAAAATGAATAGCACCATTCAAATGCAAAAAAAAAAAAAAAAAAAAAAAAAAAAAAAAAAAAAAATAATAAAACTTATAATAACAACAAAATATAACAAAAGATATCATAACTATGATTACATACACTGTAGTGTAATAAAGAAAAAAAAAACTACACAAAACGTAAATAAAAATCAATTTGTTACAGGGTGAACAATGTGCATTTAATGACCTGAACTCAAGCCCAGGATTCTTGGAATACCGTTCCCCCACCTATACAGACTGGGCTTTACTGCCGCTTTAACATCTTTATCACAAGTCATACCTGTGCTGCTTTTGTGACTGCATAAAAATGGTACATGTATTGCACGGTCGTGCATATATTCTGGTATGACGTAATTTGCGTTATACAAACATAGAATAAAGGCACGCTAAATATTAGTGTTATACTACATGCGCGTCAGTGAAAAATGACTCTTTCTTCACTTTAAACTGTCTTTATTTTGGGTATGTGATAAAAAGAATATTAAATTTGCACAAGTTCATTACTGAATTTATTGAACTTGATGAATAAAATAATATTATCATTATGCTCACAAGAGGCTCGCCTGCTATAACTTTAATCAACTTGTTTAAAATAAATTCTGTATTGAACTTAAACTCATTCATTATCCTCTATTTCTCTTACAATTACATAATGTTAACAGAATTGAAAGTAGAAATTCAAAGATACCTAAACCCTATCTTTGATACCTAACCCTATCAATTAGCCTTTAATGTTGATTTTTCTTTTTTCAAATTTTGGCCTAAGCTAAAGGAAAATATCAGAATTTACTGTATATTGATACGGGGGTGGTATAAAAAAACATTGGTGAAAAAATATCAATATTATATAAAGGTACAAAAGTAGAAAATACTGGCATGTACAAATCAGATCACAAGAGAAGTATAAAACGTCACTTTAGTGCAGTAACAGGTTAAGTCCTTCTAAACTTAATAGGAGTTAACCAGTTATTGCACTAAGGTGGCGAAAACATAATAATAATAATAACAGTAATAACTTTGTTCAAGCTTCAAAGAGTTGATCAGAAATTAGGGATTAGGCCATTTACATATTAAGACCACTGATTCCGTAAAAGAAAAGAAAACAAAAAGAAAAAGCAAAATAAAACAACCAAAAACATTTGAAACATAATTCTATGAAAAAAACTTATAAATAAAGGTAAATAATTATCCTGATAAGTAGTATTAAAAAAGTAAAATTTGATTATAGTCAAGTGTGAAATATATATAAAAATATATATAATTTTATTATCATAGAAACAAGTCTTTAACAAATGAAAAATGATTCCTTATTGAAAATTAACATCATAATGTTTGCAATAAATATAATAAAAATTGTGGGAATAGAGTCTACCCTATACTGACATGTGAGTATAATTTCCATACACAAATTGTTATTACTCTAGAACTCTTTTTAATAAGCTCGCTCATCAAAAGTTTGATTGTTAGGCATAAATATTTGGTTTGTCACTCAAATAATGGAAATCCAATTATGTTCTCAGCATACTCACATGCCAGTAAACAATTATCAAAATAGATCAAAGAAAGACAGGTGTGCATGTATCCATATTTCCGATTAAGTTTGATTAAGTTAGAAAAATACAAGTTTCTTATTTCATATTAAATAATAATGTTTTATGCAATCTTGAGTCTATGAACCACTGTTACATTTTTCCTAGTACTTATATTTTCATAAAAGATTAAATCACAAATCTCAAGGTGAGCTGGTGAGTTTTAAGTAATTTAAAATTTCTTTCATTTGGCATGGATATTCACCAACTTTTCACACAACTTTAAAGCTGCACATCTCCAAATGAGCCAAAATATTTCAAGATATTCAATCTTTAGTAAAATAAGATCTTAAAAAAAGTAAAAAGATTCAATATTTAATTAATTATTTACATGTAATGTGCAATTAATGACTGATTTTGCAGTATCAATCACTATAATTCTATTGGTTACTAATGCAGTAAGAGGTATATTTGTATATTTCGACCTCTTTTTAGTAATTTACGTGAATTGCAAGTGCCATTGGCAATGTGTTAATTACTTTCTTTGTTCACTTCACATTGTTTTACTTTTAAATAAATTTTCAAAATTTTCATGAAAATGAGCATGAATTTGGAGGCATGCTGCTTTGAAATATTTAACATCTTTAGCACACAAAAAAAGTCATGAAGACAATATAATTGTTACTAAATAACAAATCATTTTTTTTTTTGGCATTATATCAGACCATATTCTCATCTTCTTCAGTGAATTTTATTTCTTTTTATCTTTTTTCACTGAAGAGTTAAAACAGCAGTTTGATAAAAATATATGAAGTCAAAGTTAAAAAACAATTTTTCTAACAAAATTTGGCATATGGAAATGTTTTTAAGCAATTTCTTACAAATTTGGCATGTGAAAAAAGAAAACAACTATTTTATACATAATTTTCTTTTGGCTATGTCATATGGTGTTGAAGGTGAAATTCCTCAACTAACTTGTACAAAAAAATAATTTCTGATTTTAAAGCAAATCTCCTAATTCTAGTAAGTATCAAGTTAACAATCCTTATTTTTAATATGTGCAAATATAAATTTACTTATAATCAAAAACCTGTGAAAGCTATTTTATCAATAATATACGTTGAAAACATGAAAATGACAATATTTGTCATCACCTTAGTGCAATAACAGGTTAACTCGTATTTATTTATATAAGGAGTTAATCCATTACTGCACTTACGTGACACATTGTATTTGCATGTAGATATCATTGTCAAACACATTTTTAATTGGCAATCCTAGAAAATTTAATGACAATTTTATTAATGCAAATGGCAATTTGAAGAATTTACAAAATAAAAATCCAGTAAAAAGGCAGAGATTTGATTTCCATCTGCAAATGGTAATGTTTGGATATTACATAACATACAAAAAATCTTCATAATTTAATCATAAAACAATGATCGGAAAGCTATAAAAAACATCATTTGAGCCGCGTAACGACAAAACCAACATAATGGGTTTGTGACAAGCATGGATCCAGACCAGTCTGCACATCTGCGCAGTCTGATCAGGATCCATGCTGTTCGCTTACCAACTCCATTACAAGTGAAGAAACTGACAGCCAACAGCATGGATCCTGATCAGACTGCGCTGATGTGCAGGCTGGTCTGGATCCATGCTTGTCACAAACCCATTATGTTGGTTTTGTCATGACGTGGCTCATTAAACAGTTGATACCTTATAAAATGTGACATATTGAAAACAAGTGCATGTTTTGATTTCACAATGACAGGAACTGTAGATAAAAACTCAATAGGCCTGCTGTTTGAAGCCTGATCAGACAGCGCAAACATGGAGTCTGGGCAGACGGCATAAATATGGAATCTCTTCAGACAGTATTACATAATATGGTCTGAATAAACTTATTCTTTAGGCCAGTAATTAACTTACAGTTATTTCACATGTTATTTTGGAACAGTCAAACTGTTGGCCCGAGGTGGAGGGGAAAGTGTTTTCAACTGTAACCCAAGGCCGCAGGCCAACGGCAACAGTTGAAAACACTTTCCAAGACATCGAGTATTCGACTGTTCCCAAAAAACCTATGAAATAGCTGTTTTATTACCTGATCAATCACTGTTTCAACAGTACTTGCAGACGAAAAAAAGCAACAAGAAAATAGTTTTGCAAATATGTTAACGCTTCAAGAGGGAATCCCCTATGACATCAGAGCATGCAAGGGAAACAGTCAAAACTATTGACCGGTCACCAGTTCTCGAACGTTGAAGTTTTTAGAATTTCAGAAAACAGTAAAAAATATAAAATTACATTTTATAACATTTGTTCAAAATCATACTTTATACATACTGCATATTTAACGATGAATGATGAATTTTGCACATAATATTTAATGTCAAACTTTTTGTCATGGAAAAAAAACTGAAATATCAAGCTTGTTGCTATGGTCACTATTCAATAATGACATTTCAATGGTCACTATGCTTCATCAGGGGTTGATATGAAACTTATCACTTCAGTGACAGTGCAATGATTCACATTCCATTGGTCAATATGTTTTTATCAGGGTTTGATATGAAACTTATTACACTGGTAACAATGCTATAACGATGTTTCATTAGTAACTCTTTGTTTGGAATCTTCTTCTTGCCTTGCTAATCTTTGATTTAATATTCGTATCTGAAAAATAACAAATAAATAGAGGATATTGAATTACATTCAATACTGAATTTATTGAACAAGTTGAATAAAGTTAAATTATGCGAGCTTCTGGTGAGCATAATATTATTTTGTTCAACAAGTTCAATTAATTCAGTATTGAAAATACACGAATATAATATTCAATTTATGACATATAAAAAAATAAAGTGTTTAAAGTAAAAAAAATATCATTTTTCAATGACATGCCTATAGTGTAACGCTTATATTGAGCGCGTCTTTACACTATGTTTGTACAATGCAAATGACGTCATGTCAAAATATATGCACAGCCGTGCAGTACCGTTTTTAATGAGTCGCAAAATTGGCATGGGTGTGTGATAAACAACATTATTCAGAAGAAAACTTTGGTTTGAACTATTGAAATGGCTGCCTTCTTATCTATGCTGGTGAAGTTTTATAATTCAATCCAAAAGCATAATGAAGTTAAAGGCAAATTATGCCTCAGAAATAAATAAATTTATACTTCTTTTGTAAGGTCAAACATGAATTTTATTATGTTTAAGTAATGATTTTAGAGGATGTAGGATGCTTATTACCTGAAGAAAAGGGCAATAAATGTGAAATATTCTGTCATAAATGTAGCCAAACGTAAACAAAGTTGTATTTTAACTTTCATACAAAATACTAATTCACAATAACTGTACATATTGTCAAAAAGCAACAGATGGAAAAAATGGTTAAAGTAATTGGCAAATAAGTAACTTTCTAGATAATTATTATGGAAGTACTAGATCTACAAAATTAAATGTTTTTTGAGAAATAAATAGAGGATATTGAATGAGTGTAGTTTAATACTAAATTTATTGAACGAGTTGAATAAAATCATATTATGCGAGCCTCTGGCGAGCATAATATTGTTTTATTAAACGAGTTCAATAAATTTAGTACTGAATCTACACGAATATAATATTCTATTTATCACATATGTAAAATAAGAACAGTAAACTGTTAAAAGGAGTAATTTTTCAATGACGTGTCTATAGTGTAACGCTAACATTAGCGCGCTTTAACGCTATGTTTCCATATAGCGCAAATGACGTCACGTCAGTGTTGTTTGTAGTATAATATTGTTTTGATGAAATGGTTTATTACACTCCTGCGCCGTGGTTTATGTGATAATGAGGCATAATGGGCCTTTAATGTAAATAACTTACATGGGATTCATATCGCTCAGTCAACGACTGCACTTGTGCCTCAAACTTCTTTAACTTTGTCTGATATTTCTTCTTTGCCTTGTCAAACGCTGATATGAGGGTACTGTAAAAGATACCAGATAGTTTAAAGGTGATGTGCTTTAATGTGATAGTATAATGGATAAATTGACAAGTCAAGGGCACAAACAATGACATGTTAATAGGACTACATGTATATACAGTAGAACTTTGGTAAATCAAAGTTAAAAGATTCTGCTTAAACACTTCAAGACTTCAACACAAGTATAGGGCCCAATTCAAGTTCTTGATGTTTACAAGTAGCTTACACATTGCATTACAAAAGAACAGGGCAATAAATTAACCCGATCACTTAAAAGCTACATGTAAGAAAAACACATTGAAAAATTCCATACATAACAAGAACTGTCAGTAGAACAGTGTACTCATTACTTCATAGTATTACAAGAGCCTGGATAATGTATAATTTTTGTAAGTTTATTTAGTGCCATAATTCTGTAAAAATTCATGTTAGAGTTGTGGGTCTTGGACAGGGACCTCCTATTATGCTCTGAAATAAGTGTGTGAAGTTTGAATCAATTTCCTTCTAATCAGGAGTTTTAGAGAAACTAATTTGCAAACGAAAATTAAACCATAATGTGACACGATGCTGATGCCTGTGTGAGTACAGTAGCTCTCCTAATTCTTTGAATAGTCAAGCTGAAAACTGAACTTAAATATAAAATATAGGTTTTTAATATGAATATTTATAGGGGTGGCTTGGGAATCAGAACTTTATTGTTACTTTAACACATAAAGAAATCTACCTGTTTGCTCGTTTTAAATCATTTACAAACTCAGCCGACTGCTGGTGCCGTATCTCAGAGTTTCGGGACAATTTCTCCAACGCACCCACAAGCTCTGACACCTGGTTTTTTAGTTTCTTCTCACGCCGTAATGAGTCGGTTAACTCTTTCATCATTTCCGGAAGGTCATGTGACTGATATTCGGCCAATGAGGTGGGAGGAGTGGACCTATCGCTTCCAGACTGAAAATTTCGAAAAATTTCAATGTTAATAAATTTCTTCAAATAGTGATTTATATCAAAGAAACATTAATAACACTATACTTGTGTAATGGACTCCTCTAACTTTAAACTTGGAACAGTCCATTGTCAATTCAAGTAATTTCAATAGCAAAATTTCTTACACAAGAAAATGAAATATTTATTTTAGAAATAATATGATGTACATGTACATAATTCACCTACCTATCAAGAAATTAATTCTTCACAAAATGAATATGCTGAAAGTAGCATTAAACCACTGTAAAATTTACTTTCGAACATTATTTCATACAATAACCCAAAAATAATAGTTTTCCGAATATTTTGACATTAAATGCATTGGTCATGTTGGTAATGCAAAGTTCTAGCATACCTAATAATTATGTTTTTGAACAGATGGAGTGATTTTAAAATCCCTAAAATCTGGGATAATAAAAAGTCAAAAAATACAATTAGTGGATTAAAGAGCCAAAACTAAAAGTTCTAACCTTCTCGCTAACCTGGTCATCTTGTGACCTTGACCCCTCTGTGACCTCTGACTTGAGATGCTCTATCTGTACTAGGTAGGCATGTTCCTGGGACTCCATACTGTTCATTCTCAGCTCCAGTGAGCGTTTCTCCTTCTCAAGGAGATAATTTTGAGCTTTAAGTTCAGCTTTCTCCTCCTGTAGACAAAGATAACAAATCAGAATTGTTTACAGTACAAATCTCAACTTTTCATTATATATCGTATTGCTTTCATTTAGGGCGTCTCTATGCTACACAAATGATGTCACATCAAAATATTTTTAGGGCATTATTACACTACAGAAAAGACCCCACATCAAAAAACTTCAAGGGCGTCTTTACACTTTGTTTTGGTACAATGCAAATGACGTCAAACTTTTAGGGTGTCTTTACAGTATGTTTGGTAAAATGCAAATCACGTCACACCAAAATTCTTTTAGGGTGTCTTTACGGTATGTTTTGGTATAATGCAAATAACATCACATCAAAATACTTTTAGGGTGTCTTTACGGTATGTTTTGGTATAATGCAAATCACATCACACCAAAATACTTTTAGGGTGTCTTTACAGTATGTTTACAGTTGCGCAATACTGAAAGTGATACAGATACAGTATAGCTCAAATATAAAAACAAGAGCTGTCGGTAGGACAGCACGCTCGACTATTCTAAGTGCTTGATAGTAAAAGAGCCTTGATAATGTTAAATTTTTTAAGTTCACAAAAGGGCTAATTTTTTTTCATAAATTCATGTTATAGGCCTTAGAGAGAGTCTAATTATACAGTATTGGCTTGACTATTTGGAAGGAGATGTCACAAGGGTGTTTTATTGAGTATAATAATACTAATTACCTATGAAAAAGGTACAAAGGCTTGTTATTAAGATGTTTTATCAAGTAAATCACTGCTTTATTATCATGAATGCATAAAATTGTCCCAAAAAAGGCACAAACCCTTCAGTAGTTGTTGATATAACAGCTTACAAGCAAAACTTTACCATGAATTTCTAAGTTGAAAAAAGGGGAGAAAAATCCGCCTAAATGCAAGATAGAATTATGGATCTTTGTCAGTGACCTACAATTATGACCCTAAATCATATGTGAAGTTTTAAATAAATATCTTTAATAGTTATTGAGATATGTAAAACTTGCATGTAAACATTAACCAAGAGACTAAGTAGAAAAGGGGATATGAATCAGCCTTAATGCAAGATAGAGTTATGGAACTTGGTCAGTGACATACAATTATGACCTTCCAATTATGACCTTAAGTGCATGTGTAAAGTTTCAAGTAAATATCTTTGAAAACCTTTAACCTTTAACCAAAATTTCTAAGTTTCAAAGGGGCAAATAATTCTGCAAATATTGCAGGCAGAGTTATGCAATTTTGCAAACTGATATACATTGTTACTATAAAAAAGTATTTTAAATTTCAATTGAATATCTCAAGCAATAATTGAGATATTTGACTTTACAAAAAAACTTTAACCAAACTTCTAAGTTCCAAAAGGGGCATAATTTTGTCAATATTGTAGGCAGAGTTATCCAACTTGTCAATCTGATGTACCTTGTTACTATAAATAAGTATTGTAAGTTTCAATTGAATATCTCAAGCAATAATTGAGATATTTGACTTTACAAGAAACTTTAACCAAAATTTCTAAGTTAAAAAGGGGCATAATTCTGTCAATATTGTAGGCAGAGTTATCCAACTTGTCAATCTGATGTACCTTGTTACTATAAATAAGTATTGTAAGTTTCAATTGAATATCTCAAGCAATAATTGAGATATTTGACTTTACAAGAAACTTTAACCAAAATTTCTAAGTTAAAAAGGGGCATAATTCTGTCAATATTGTAGGCAGAGTTATCCAACTTGTCAATCTGATGTACCTTGTTACTATAAATAAGTATTGTAAGTTTCAATTGAATATCTCAAGTAATAATTGAGATATTTGACTTTACAAAAAACTTTAACCAACGCAGACGCGGACGCGGACGCCGACGCCGTTGCCGACGCCGGGGCGACTACAATAGCTCTCATATTCTTCGAATAGTCGAGCTAAAAATGCGGGGATTGGCAAACTTTGGAAAAATTGTTAAAGCTGTACTGTGTGTTATAAAGCAAGTTACTGTTCTCTGCAAAACCGGCGGCGTTTTAAATTGAATTGTTATACCACTGGAGACTTTTATATATAAACACAGAAGGCCAGAAGCATCTGTTATGTTTGTGACGTAATCTTTTGTTATATCTGTTCATTACATGTAATTTGTTTGTTGTACTGACAGATATCAAATTTCTCTTAAGGAACTTCACAATTAACAACTAGTAATGGAGAGTAAATCAAACTTAGTTATTTTTAAAATATTTTTGCACGTATGGTAGATTTATCAACAGCTTTTACAGCAAATAGAAACATTCTTAGGTAAAAAGAGGCAAAACTATATAGCTATCAGAATGATAAATTATGCCCTTTATCTAAAATTAGCAAGAATTCAAAGTTTCATGTTGTTAAATTTTTAATCTTTGAAAAACGGGATCCATTAAAGTTTTTGTTCAATGATGACGCAGCAATTACAATAGCTCGACATTTTCCTTTAAGCAGATAAGTAATAAATAATCTTTAGGAATAACACTCTTCACATTCTAACAGAAAATTAACAGCACTACCTTCATAGCCATTAACTCCTGCATAATCACAGCGTTTTCTAAATCCAGTCTATGAGCATCATTCTTACACTTCCGGTCTAGTTCCGGTTCACAGTGAACACTTTCTAGCTCCATCACAGTTAAATGTACCGTACTTTGTTCACTTTTAAGTCTCTGAATATAGTCCCGTAACCTCCTCTCGTCAGCTTTCGTGAATTCTGTATCACCACTACCTGTAGAGCTTGATGTGCTGAAATATACAAGACACAGTGAGATATAATTTATATTCGAAAAGTGAGATAAAGACAATTTTCACAAAGTGAGATAAAGTCAATTTTCACAAAGTGAGATAAAGACAATTTTCGAAAAGTGAGATAAAGTCAATTTTCACAAAGTGAGATAAAGTCAATTTTCACAAAGTGAGATAAAGTCAATTTTCACAAAGTGAGATAAAGTCAATTTTCACAAAGTGTGATAGAGTAAATTTTCACAAAGTGTGATAGAGTTGATATTCATGAAGTGGGATATTATATAGCCAGAAAGTGAGATACAGCCCATATTAAGAAAATGTTGTTTCATAATAAATTTGATATACACAAAGTGAGAAAAACTCAATATTCAAGAAATGAGATATAGTCAACATTCACAAAGTGAGATAAAGTCAATATTAACAAAATTATATAAAATTTGATATTAGCAGAGTGAGATATAGTCAACTTTTATGAAGTGAATTATAGCCCATATGAAGATAATGTCTATGTTTCATATTCACAAAGTGAAATAAAATTGACATTCCGGATGCGAGATATAGTCAAAATTCACAAAGTGAGATATAGACGATTTTCACTTAAGAGATATAGTTGATATTCACAAAGTGAGATATAGTTGATATTCACAAAGTGAAATATATAGTTGATATTCCCAAAGTGAAATATTGTCGATGTTCACAAAGTGAAATATAGTTTATATTCACAAAGTGAAATATAGTCAATATTCACAAAGTGAAATATAGTTGATATTCACAAAGTGAAATATAGTCAATATTCACAAAGTGAGATAAAGTCAATATTCACATTGTGAGATAAATTTAATATTCACTAAGTGAGATAAATTTGATATTCACAAAGTGAGATATAGTCTTTACAAAGACTGATCAGTAATTTTAGTTTGCCAGCCCGGGCTTCGAACTCACAAGTTGAGATTAAAAATTTCTCACCCAACTGATTGAGCTATGCAGGCAGGCCAAATAATTTGGGGAGCAGTGGCCTAGTGGTTAGGGTGTCTGCCTCTCAACCCAGGGATCATAGGTTCGTACCCTAATCGGGTCACAACCATGTTTCTTGACATCAGTACTGGTTGGTTCTAGGAAGCTGACTAGAAAGTGATTAATTTAAGTTGCAAGACCTTGATTTGCAATTGAGCTTAGATAAATATGTTTAAACCAAAGCAAACCAATTTGAAACCACAACCTTTTTCCTATGTAGAAATACTTACCTGGCGGTTTTACTTGTATTTGACAGGTCCTCCCAGGGCCTAGCAGGTGACTGCCTGCCATAAATTACTCCGAATGTTTTATCCAGTTTTTGTAGCATATGTTTACTGACATTTTCTGCGGCTCGTCTGGACTGATGAGCGCGTTTTAGAATGGAGGCTATCTCTTCTTGTCCGTCCGTAAAACTATCACCACCTTCACAATATAAAATCAAACAAATTATAATTTTATACTAAGGTATTGTAAAAAGGACACATAACCAAAAACAATTGCCTGCATTACAAAGTACAAGTTTTGAATCACGAGCATTATGACCGAATGACACTTTGACCATATACACTTTAATACAAACATTTTGACCAAGAAACCTTGTGACAAAAACAAATATTTAGAACCACAAACATTTACCCAGTAAACACTTGGACAAAAAGAAACTCGGAATAGCAAACTTTTCAACACAAAAGCTAGTATTTCCCCAAGTTTCATATAGATACAGTCTAACTTGCCCATGCGACCACGTGTATTAAGCGACTTTTGTCTTAAACGACCACTTTAAATTCCCCCCGATCATTTTCTCTCTATATCTTTAATGTATTAAGCGACTTTTGCTCAACGCAACCCGCGACCGCTAATTAGTCACCTAATTGACATCAATCTTTTCATTAAACGACCACTTTTACCTGTCAAGTAATTGTGTTTTTAGAGAACGCCACCTCGTTATGTCACAAGTGTCAGCAATCAAAACACAACAATAAACGTGTGAAAAACTCTATTTCCCATACCGTTTTAGCGTATGCAAATGAAGTTAAGTATACATGTGATGTGTATTATCCAATAATATCAGATAAACAATGCAACGCTCCGCCCATACTGAGATGGTGTATACGCTTCGCTTGTTGACATTTAGACTGCATTGAATTGACCTTGAACTTGATCAGCCATTAAATTAATAGTAACAAATAGATGTAGTTTGTTTATTTCAAATGAAAAAATGCACAACAGAAACATCTTCACTAATAGGGTTTTCGTGTTGGAGACAAGGAAAACAACGGAGAAGTTAAAAAATTCTGGAAAAAATGTCAAACATGTACGTAATGGATCAAAACTGTTTTGTCAATAAATATCAGAACGTTATTTTTACATTTGCATCCGTTTAGATTATCGGAGCGTACTTATTATTCAACATTTATATAAAAATGAAGTTGAAAAACAATCCCATCGAATAAAAAAGATGTCATTTATAAATTTTGACTTTTATATCATGCTGACTGTCTTAAGAGACCGTTTCATTAAGCGACCGTTTTTGGTGTTTCCCTTGCCCGGTCGCTTAATACACGTTTGACTGTACTTAAACAATTGCATAATGGGCAAAATTTAAGTCAACCAATAGACCGCCAAACAGTGATTGACTTTCTGCACACATTTTTTATCTTTGGCTAATACTCCAAGGATATTGTATGGAGGTAAATTATCACCACTTTGTGCTTCAAAATGATCTTTTTAAAAGCATGACTGGTGACATGTATAGGGTCCATACTCAACAATGAAAGCTTCTTTTTGAGCCTTCCCAAGCGGACGGACCCTCATTTAGCATAGACTACATGCTACAATTAAGTTTTTGCATGACAACAATCATGTTGCAGCAATCATAATAGATCAATTGACTATTTCTTAAAAATTGACAAGCTAAAAATACACTGGGTTTTAATTTAAATGGTATAAAACTATATCTTATGAAATATTTTTATAAATTTTATCAACAGTAAAATTCTATTGGTTGCAAAATCTTATGAAGGATTCTCCCAAGAGCTGTAGCATAGAACATCTCTGCTATTTAACACACTATATAAAATTCTATAAACAGAGTTAAATGTTTTGCAAACAATATTCTTCTAATTTAGGTGGGCGTTTATCAATGATTTGTGCTTGCACAATATACACTATATCATTACTTTTAAGGCAAATAACTACCATATTTATTTCATACAAGCATTTTTGAAGTATTTTTTTTTTAAAGCAGGCCTTGATGAATTTTTTCTATATTTCTTTTTGGATCAGAAGAAGCTTACTAGTCCTGCGAGGGTGAGTATGATCAATTTTTTCAGGCCGACAAAAACTTTCACACGCAAGTGCAAGCGGACGAATGGATTTGTCAAGGCCTGTAAAGTTCAATGACAATGATTTTTTTCAGCAGATACACTTTAACAGTTCACAGTGATATATTTCCGAAAAAAACAAGAGAACTTACCCATCCCACCTAATCCTGCAGCTCTACAATTAGCTAAAACAGCACCTAATTCACTTTCTAACAACGCACATATAATTTCATACGTCTCAGTACATAACTGACTATAATTTAACACAATTTGTAACGCCGTATTGTTCGACTCGTATTTCCCTATTAACACCGTCAATCTATCACAATTTGCTTTAGACTCCTCTAACGTCAAGTTCGCCACGTCAATCTGTGATTTGTAATTATCCACTTGGCTCTGAAGTCTTTCGAGCTCGATTTCGAATTCCGTTACACGAGAGTCAACGTCACTTATTCCAGATTTGTCCGTGGCATTTTGAACAATTTCTTGAATCTTAGAACCTTTCCATAAACTTTGCACTAAGTGTTCTGCAACTTTGGTGTTTGGCATCTGCAATTAGATGAAAATTTGTCACATACCTGTAAAGAGTGTTATATATACCTTAACTTCCCCACAAGATTTTATTACTCATTTGAATTTTTATTTTTTGTCAGGTCCAAAATTCATATCCAAAAGATCTAACTTATCTTATATAGTCATCTTTTAGAACTGCCACTAGGCAGATTTTGAAAAGGTTTTCCAATATTTGTTCTATTTTTTTTTTTTAAAATATGTTAAAATTAATTGCAATTAATTAAAATTCACAAATTATTGTTGATTTTTCTATTCTTAATTTTAAGTTGTTTAGAAACATGTACTGAGATTCACTTAATGTATCATTTTTTTGTTGTTGTTGCTATGGTGATATTTCATTTACTCGAGACCTCCAGTATTACTGTTTAACTTAATTTCAAACCCAACTAACAAGGTGGACAATCATGCAAAGGTATCAATCAGCCCGCTTAGCTCAACAGGGAAACATTAGAATTTATAATTCACAGGTCGCAGGTTTGATCCTTGACCAGGTGAAATTTCTAATACTCTCTAATTTATGAATGAGACCTCTTGTTTTACTGTTTAACTTAATTTCAACTCCAACCTAAAGATGAACAACCTTGCTAAGGTATCAGTCAGCCTGCTTAGCTCCACAGGGAGAACATTAAGATTTTATAATTCAAGGGATCGCAGGTTTGATCCTCGAGCTAGGCAAAACTTCTAAAATCTCTCTAATTAATGAATGTAACCTCCTGTTTTACTGTTTAAGTCTGTCTTGTTTATATTTCACTGTATAGCAAACAGTATACACACAGTCTATGGTCATGCATGTTCTAGCTGATCTTATTCTGCACTGGTTGCATGTATGCTTTAAATTATATCTTTCTAGTGCGCCTTTTATGAACAAATTGCATTCTAGGATGACACCATTTAAGCATTAAGAATGAAGTTGTAAATTTATACACTTAAAAGTATAAGAAGAAAATGCTAAATGAAAATATTAGCTTTCAGAAATTCCTTTTAAAATATGTTTTATTATTATCAAGAAATATGAAAGAGTAGAAAAATCAAACACCGGCTGTCACCTCAGACCGGAATATATAGCTCCCGGTTAACTGTATGGCGGAAATGAGGCTGCTGGGTATTCCAGTCTGTACTGGCATCCAGTGTAAGATTCTAATAGTCTCACCCAGGGTAAGGGTAAACTTTTCGAGAATAACACATGGTATATACCTACCCCTAAATTACTTATCTCACTACCCAGAACAGGTCTCTCTGAATTACTGACTGTTTTTAACTTCTTTAACTCCGCTACTTTAGCCACTGGAAAATTATCTGAAGCTTTTGTAGGCGTTAAATTTACTCCCGGTCTGAAAACACATAAATAAACAAAGAATAAAAAATCACAGGATTGTGCGTAACGTTTTTCAAAGTAATCATTATCATTATCTACTTCTTCATCATCACCATTATTATTGTAATTATCATCATTGTCTTTGACTTAACCATCATCATCACCATCATCATCATCAACGTAGAGTTATTGGCCTTTGATAGGGTCTTCCAATCATGCTCCCAAATAAGTGTGTGAAATTTCCAGTGATTCCCTTCAATAATTTTTAAAATACCAACATGCATGCAAAAATTTAACCAAAGTGACATCATGCCAATGCCTGGGTTGGTACAATTACTCTCTTTATTCTGTGAATTGTCAAGCTAGAACTGATTATACCAGCAGTATAAAGGGCCATTCTGTCACTGAAGCCGTTATGTTTTTGGTATGACCACAATAATGGTTGCCATAGGAGATTCTTTTTTTTTTTTTTACAGCACACCAATACAACTTAGATCATATGGTGCCGAAACAGGAAATATGATTTTGGTTAACCATGGGTGTTACAAACTTAAAGCAACACTAGGGGTCAAAACCAACTCACCTGCTGGAGCTAAGAGATGCATTGACTCCAAGAATTCAAACCCATTTAGTTATCCCTTACAGTGATTAATCTAGAAATTCCTTACAATGCGTCGGATGACGCACATGTTTGAAAACAATGAGTCCTGTAGCAAAATCAATGAGTCATGTAGCAAAAAAAATGCGTCTTTTTAATAGCAGATCCTTGACATGATTTGCATGTTTTTATAACAAGCGATTAAGTAATTAAAGTGCATAAAAACGTTATTTTTGGTACTAATATTAATTGCAGGCAAAACAATTTTTATTGGCTGCTCAAAAATCTAATTTTCATAATTTATATTTTCTTACTACTTATGTCTAATACTGTGCATTATCCATTTTAATTGTTCGTCATTTGCACAAAATGTCCCTCTCACACTGTATACATACTGACGACTTTTATTGCTCCTTGTATGCCTCTGTGTAGAAAGCATACACAGACAGACCTTTTGATCATGAAAAAGTCATGCACAAAGTTACCCTGATTGGTTAAACACCCTGTCAAATATTCTGATGACGTAATAGACATCTTTTTTTTTTTTACACTCCGCGTGAACTTGAGTGACCTTAGGGGAAATAATTACACACCTGTCAGATTATACTGTAACTTACAGCATTTCTTAAAATAGCAACACTTTTTTTCAGTTACCGATAATTATTTAAAATATTAAGTAGATAAATGATTTTTTGTTTGCTTTATTGGATTAAATTTACGGTAGTAGAAATGCAGTAGTAGGTGGGAAAGGGATTAGGTAAGTAGATAACTTGGAAAAATGCTATAGGGAAATGGATAAACTCAAGAATATGCGTAATTACAGGGGAATGGGTAACCTGTTGCTGTTGGTACCAGTTTTGTCTGGATGACTAAATTACATACAATATAAGTCTGATGCGCCTTTTGCCATTTGCTGACGATTTTCCTGTGCCCTTCTCATTTTTTAGCGCCAATATCTGCATATTTCACCACTGTAGGCGAATCGCTCTTATGCAAAATGGACGCTCTGATTGGCTAATGCCGATAATGGGCGGTTACCGATCACAAGCAACAATTGCTTGGGATTTAACGTTTCAAGCAAATGGGGGGATAAGTCTTGCACCTGATATCATCGGAAATTAAATTATTCAACTGAAGAAATTGAAAAATTATTCAACTAATGAAATTAAAGAAATCAATCTGTACATAGAAATCACTAATCGTGATATTTTGGATTATAAACTTCCTGATAAGCATGCGTCAGATTGAACGCACATATTTTGAAACTGTGCGTCTTTTTCGATTTTTATGCGTATTTTACGCAAGACGCACATCTAGATTAATCACTGCCCTTAAGATCATACAGGAATAAACACATGGGTGAAAGTTACGTAAAAATATCAAAACCCCTGAAAACTCTTAATTGAGCATTATTTCAATTGGTTTTATAAAGAAAAAGAGTATTTTCTGGAGTATATGAAAGCTGAAAAATGCCTAAAAAGATGTACCAATGTACCAATTCTGGTTTCTCTCAACCCTCAGCGGCAACCAGGGGAGATAATACATCTTATAAGAAAATCTATACAGTTGACAGTATTGTTGGATATATACCTTTCTAAATTTGTACTAAGAGGTTGTTTTGTAGGGGTAGAGGTTCTACTATTGACAGGACTCCCTGATCCCTCGTAACTATGTAACCTTGTCTGATGATCTGATGCCTGCAAATAAAACGAGAATTTTTTTGTATAATCAACAACAAAAAAAAAATAATAATAATAATTTAGAGGAATTGTCAAATTATTTACATGATGAAAATTATTGTTTAAGTACCATTTTAAAGAAATAGTGCGATTTGCTTTTGCGAAGATGATGGAATTCAGTTAAGGAAGATTTTTTTTTATATGTGATCTTAAGCATGAGAATGACCTCAAAATAATTACCAGGGGAAGTAATGCATGTAATATGACAATCATTTATATCAGGCTGTAAAAAAATACATTTAAAAAATGAGGAAGTAAATTTTTCAGTATGTTATATAACATGCAAACTTTATTCTCTCACATTGTTTAAACACAAAAATTTTCTTTTATCACTTAAAACCTGTCAAAAATCTTTATAAACCAATAATATATTGAGAAATAGAAAAAAAAACTTTAGAATTAATATGCAATAATAACAAGAGCTGTCGGTAGGACAGCAACGCTCGACTATTCTTAGTGCTTGATAGTAAAAAAAATGCTTGATAGAGTTACCTCCTCCTGTTTACAGGTTGGGGTCATGATGGTGAACAAGTGTGCAAAGTTTCAAAGCCATATGAAAATATTTGAACTATAACAAAAACTTTAACGTAAATTCTAAGTCGAAAAAGGGGCATAATTCGGGTGACTGCAATAGCTCTACTTATTCTTATCGAATAGTCGAGCTAAAAATTACTCGGTAATTAGAAATAGTTCTTGGCTTACCTGTTTTTTATATCTATTTTTTTCATCTGTAAGATTGGCAAGCGCTAGCCTCATTCTTTGCATATCTTGTTCCTGTTTGATTATCTGCTCCTGTAATGACAATAAATACATCAACATCATAATCATCAAAATAATCATTATCATCATAACATTATCATCATCATCATAGCATCATCATAATCATTATAACAATCATCATAACATTATCATCATCATCATCATCATAACACCATAATTATAAAAATCATCATCATTATCTTCTTCTTCACCATCATCATTATCTACCTAGTCATCATTATTATTTTAAATATCATCTTTGTCTATATCATCATCATTATAATAATAAATATCACGATCATCTTAAACATTTTTATCATCATCATCAACTTTATCATCATCATCATCATCATCACCAAATTTATCATCATCATCATCAACATTACCATCATCAAACACAACTTTAATTGCCGCCATCATCATCTTCTAATTCTTCATCATCATAATCTACCTAATCATTATTACTGTGTTAACCATCATCATCATATTGATATAAATCATCATCATCTTCATTATCTTCATTATCAACCTATCATTGTATGTAATAGATATACCATTGCTGCGTTGACGATTTCTGGGTTTGCGTAAATTATACCATACGAAGTCGAGTGAGGTTGCATAAGAAAGGTCACGTGATTATGGTATAATTTACGCAAACCCAGAAATCGCCAACGCACCAATGGTGTATCTGTTTTAACCTATAGCTCCGCCCAGAACACTTAATCCTTCGATCTTCAAAACTGAAAATTATACCATAGTCTGGGTATGGTATAATTTACGGTTATTGGAAATTATACTTGGAAGAATTTTACATAAAAAGCGCTGAAGAGCTATAGGTTAACATCATATATCATCATCATTATCATAAATATCATCATCATCATCATCACCATGTATAAAGTCAAAGTCAGATAAGAGTTCAAGTCATATCTACCAAAATGAAGTTGTCAAATGGCTTGTTCCGACCAAATATGCAAGCATCAGCTCACACTATGAAAGTACCTATCATTGTCAAATCACAAAGTTGTGTACATGGACAGGCAAACAAAAACTATATGTATGGCCTATGTGAATGTAGGGGCACAGAAAACAGCAACTCCTTACCTGTAATGTACTGTTTTCTGTTCTCAATGAATTGATCTCTTCCTGCAGGTACCCTGGGTCTGGAAACTCATTTGGTGGAGGGGGTGGGGGCGGATGAAAGGTGGCTGGTCTAAGACCGTGCGATGGAGGCGAAGGTGACTCAGGCTCAAAACTGAAATCTTCCATGTTCTTACACACCTGTGAAATCAAAAACCATGACAATGAAGGTTTTTCTTTGATTTGATTTGATTCTATTTGTTTTTACTAGTTAAATTTTGTTAATATCTTATTTTAACTTTGTGAAGCAAGATCTTTCAAGGTGTCTGTGCAAGAGTGGTTAAAGTCGTTTGTTGAAGCTAAACCACTTGTCTCTCTCTGCTGTGGGTTCGAATCCCACCTGGATTCTTTCATGATGAAACTATCCAGTATTTATAAATCAAGTTTCTCCTTTGTAGTAAATACTTATAAGGAAATGTGATTGTGTCTAAGGCTCAAGCAAAAAATACATGAAATGAGAGGCAGTATTGATGTGACTTTTTGTTTTGTTTTTATCATTATAATATTACTGCACATAAAAATTCAAAACATTCACTATCATATGATAATGCACTTAAAATCCAAGTCAAAACCCTGTGTTGTTTACTTCAATCTTTACCAATACTTTTTACTTACTTTACTTACTATAATCTTCACCAAATTTACTACAAATTTGGAATCTTTAATATTTACTTCGTACTCTTTTTCATAGCTTCTTTCGTACCATTTTACTTTTTTTCAGTTACAAACCCATTTACATTATTTATCATGCAACTGTTATGGTAACTGCCCAATAAAAAAAGCCTGATAATTATTTTTGATATTAAGCCCCACCTATTTCAACCGACTTTTTTCAATAGCTTATATCCTCATTTTCTACAATTTCACCTCATACCCTGACAAGTCTGGAATCAAAATGTGATATTTATTGTTTTTATTTTGTTTTCAATTAGGAACAAATCAGAAAGTGAATAGTTAAAACAGTAGCATGAAATTCTCTATAAAGATCCTGCCTCTGCATCTAACCCCTCCCTTTCCTTCTTACTTCTAATGCATTTTCTCCTCCCACATCCATTTAGAGAATTTGCCAATAAACATTACTAAGATCCACCTATTTGCATTTAAACTCCTCCCCTTCTAATTAACAATACCCTTTAAGGGATCCACCCAATTGTAATTTTAACTCCTCCCATTCCTACCTCCAATGCTTTTTCCTCCACGCTATCATCCTCATTGTCATCAATGAGAGAATCTTTTATCTGGTCTTCAGACTGTTTCTTCCTTTCATGTATTGCACTTTCTAATTCTGTAACTACCCTTGATAATTCTGAATTGAGATCTTCACCTGAAAGAGTGAATAGAAGTCATGTATATTTTCGTTAGTGTTTTAAGTCCAACCAACATTGTAAAGGTCATATGGTGACTTTCAAGATTTATTTGTGAAAGAAGACCTCAGATGCCAGTCTTTACAGTTTTTCCAGCATGACCTGGAACCCAAGTGGAACCACCAACATTCTGTAAGTTCTGCATGACCAATATTTCAGCACAATCAATTTTTCAGCATGACCAATATTCTGCATAAAAATCCCACTAAATGGACTAAGACATTTAAAAGTGCATAGTTACAAAATTACAAAAACATTCTAGAACATTTTGCTCAAATATTGCAACTGCCTTTGACAGTCATATTCTTATGTGTCCTGTACATCACTTTGCCAATATTTCAAGCTAAGAAAAATGAACACCCCTGTCTTACAAGTGAAGCATTATCTTATAGATGGGTCAATACAGTAACTCAAGAACTACCTTGCATTTGAGTACCCTGACTTATACGCAATCAGACTAGTAAATGGGTCAATAAGTCAGTAACTCAATAACTACCTTGCATTCGAGTATCCTGACTTATACGCAATCAGACTAATAAATGGGTCAATACAGTAACTCAATAACTACCTTGCATTTGAGTATCCTGACTTATACGCAATCAAACTTATAAATGGGTCAATACAGTAACTCAATAACTACCTTGCATTTCAGTACCCTGTCTTATAAGTGATCAGACATATAGATGGGTAAATACAGTAACCCTAATACTACCTTGCATTTGAGTACCCTGACTTAAAAGTGATCAAACTTATAGATGGGTAAATACAGTAACTCTAGATCTACCTTGCATTTGAGTACCCTGACTTATAAGTGATCAGATTTATAGATGGGTAAATAATTAACTCTAGAACTACCTTGCATTTGAGTCTGAGAACCAATCTCGATACTGCCACCATCTTGACTCTTAGTACTGACTGCAGCATCGATATCTTCTTCATCTTCTTCTCTGAAAACAATAAAAAATGCTTATTGACGGATTATGTTGTTCTTTTTTATCACTGCATTCACCAGACAGGTTATTCCTCGTTGAAAATGTATTGTGCCAATTAAGGGTCACATGAAATGAAGCAAGTTTTAAAAACGTATGTATGTCAAATGCAAGATCCACCTCTCACTGCTGTAGGTTCAAATCTTGCCAAGGACATACAATACTTTCTTACATATGCAGAAGCCATGAAGCTAGCTCAGTGGTTCTACTTAGGTGCCAGCTTGTACCTGAAATAAAGCACTGCTGGCCACCCGAGGTCTTAGTCCATAAGCAAAGCTTGAATGTCGCAATATGACCTCTAATGTATTTGTGCGATATAAAACCCAAACAAAAAATCAGTACGCATACATCATACCAGCACATATACATGTATTCACTATCTTAATTTGAAAAGTCAAAAAGGGGCATAATCCATGACATAATTATCAACAATGGTGTTAATCAATAAAGTACTTCATGTTTTAAAACAATACCTAACTGATCATGTTCAGTAAAAAATTTGGAGGCACAAAAAACTTTACTCAAAATCTAAGTCCTAGTTGATAAAGGGGGCATAATTGTGTCAAAATTAATCATTATGTTATGTATGGAATTAACAAAGAGGTCAATTTCCATATGTGTGTAAACAAACTATAGGCTTTGTTGTATCTTAGAACAAAAGAAAATACAATCTTAAGTTCTGTAGGGCCCTCTTTTTCATCATCTGAATCTTAATTTTTTTATTAAATTTAGTTTTTTCTCCTTTTACAATATATAACCTATACTAAATAAATGTATATAATATCATATTGTCACTTTAGTGCAGTAACAGAATAAGTCCTTCTAAAATTAATAGGTGGTAATCAGTTATTGCAGAAAATATACAAAGAAAACAAGTTTAAATCAATTGCCTACTTTCCCTTTAATAAATACTTTCTATAGTTGTTGACAAGAAACAACTATCTATTTATTTAGCCTTATATTGGAAATTTCTCTGCCAATAGTAGTATATAATAAATTTGCATTAAGTCTATCTATTTTAGGAACAAGAAATGAAATTTCTCCAGCAAATGTAGGAGGTGATTTTGCATTATTGAGCCGTCAAGACTACAGAAACAGGAAGCACGTATCCAATTTTCCTTTCATTGGTCTATTAGTATAGTGCCATAGTTTAAACAGACAGTCATTTATGGAGTCCTTATGAATTTAGATACTGTACATCAATATGAGTTTATATGACCATCTTGTTTCTTGTGAAAAAAAAATATATGAGCTGCACCATGACAAAACCAACTTAATGTGTTTGTGACCAGCATGGATCCAGACCAGCCTGCGCATACGCGCAGTCTGATTACGATCCATGCTGTTTGCTTACCAACCCTATAACAAGTGGAGAAACTGATAGTGAACAGCATGGATCCTGATCAGACTGCGCGGACGTGCATTCTGGTCTGGATCCATGCTGGTCGCAAACGCATTATATTGGTTTTGTCATGGCACAGCTCATTAACATTACTGAATTCAATTCAATTTGGCTTTTTATGCATATGAACATTACAAGTAAAACACCTCTGACATGTAGTTATATAATACTACTCATTTGTAAAATCTCTTTTCATTGGAGAATTGTGACATTTAAATAATTTATAATAAAATATTGCTGACAATTCATGAAGTAATTTCATTCATTTTTTCCTCAAATAAAGCAACATTGCTGCATTATAAAATCAATTAGTTTATAAAAGATTTTTGTTAGGTTATATGGCCATATATAAACATCTAGAAGCTCAGTATATATATGCAAACAACAATAAATATAGGGTCATATAACCTGTCAAAAATCCTTATAGCTCATAATATAGTTTAGACAGATTATATGACACACTTTAATCAGTTGAAAGCTTATATTACCAAAGACTTTTGTCAAAGGTTATATAGCACATAACCACTAACTTGGTATATAGCCACGGTTAAACAGCAGGAATCAGTCAGGAATCTTTTATTAATTTATTTGTACAATCCTATGTTTATTTTATGAAAATCTAAAATTATCTCATATAATTATGTTACATAACTATATTATATCATACATAAACATCACATTTATCCAAAGAAAAAACACTGTGTCCAAACTTAAATCACTGACAGTGATTAGCCCCTCCAACCAGTATAGAATCAGGCTAGCCTGTATTTCTGTACATTCCAACCAAACTATATGCTGTTGGCTGATAAATTAAACTTTAAATCCACATCTTGATATCCCCTAAATTGATAATGGACACTTCAAAAATTGAAGCTGGCCAAGTCCATTTAAATATTCTTCAGCTTACAGGATAATTACTATGTGTGGTAATAAAGCATTTACAATTGTTTCGAAAAATATAATCATTACCTTATCACATTGATTTGATGGCGTTCAATTTTCTTTCGTAATTCAGCTATCACGCTGTGTAACTCTGTAATTCGTTCCTCGTAACGGAATGTTATTTCATCAAGGCGCTCATCATAGTCGTCCTGAATATTTCTACGGTCAGCCTGGGAAAAACAAAGAAATCCATGCTTAGCACAGTGGTTAACAGGTCATAAACCCATGCTTAGATAACGTACACAGTGGTTAACAAGTAATGTCACTTTGCAGTTAAAATGCCAACACCTTATTAAAATTTGACTGCACACAGTGGGGTTAGGTAGTGTAAGTGTGCTGTTATGATTCATGCCACAGTTATGGGTCTTGTAAAAAAAATTACTCTGGGAAAAAGTAATGCTCTCAGACAAAAATGTATGTAATTCCTTTGTGCCAAGGAACATTACCTGTTTTACCCCAGAAAAGCATGCCACAGTTATGGGTCTTGGAAAAAAAACTTCATCCAGAGTAAAAGACAAAGTAAAGATAAAATTATCACACAAAAATGTATGTCAAGTCCCTTTTACCAATGCACATCACCAGTTTTACCCCATGAAGAACAAAACTCACGAAAAAATCTTTATCTATCTCACTTAATCTATTGAACAATATTTACCATGATTAGTAGGTCTGGAATTCAGTTATACTGATTATACACTGTTAACCAACAAATTGACAGTCAATAAATCACAAGGAAATAAAACATTGCAATTTGGTTGAAAATATATTTTGTACATTTAAACAGTGATACTGAAGATTTTATTCTAAAAATAACGTAATAACAACATTTTTTTATGTAACTTTCTTACATGTAATTTTGCAAGCTGTTTTTCTAAACTGTCCTTCTCAAGGTCGTCTCGCTGAAGACGGCTCCTTAACTCGATTATCTCCCCTTTCAATGATGTAATGGTAGCTTGATGTAACTGAAATGAAAAAGAATATAATATTCTTGTTAAAACTTTACATGCTGAATTTTTGTAAAATGGATTGGCCCAGCTTTGAATTTGGAACAGTCCATTTGTAGATTGAGGGATTTCAGTATTTAAATATGAGCCGTGCCATGACAAAATCAACATAATGGATTTGCGACCAGCATGGATCCAGACAAGCCTGTGCATCCGCACAGTCTGATCAGGGTCCATGCTGTTCCCTATCAGTTTCTCTACTTGTAATAGGGTTTGTATAAGCGAACATCATGAATCCTGATCAGACTGCACAGATGCGCAGGCTAGTCTGGATCCATGTTGGTCACAAACGCACTTATAATGCTGGTTTTGTCTGTGGCGCAGCTCATATTAATATTGAGCTACCAATGGTAAAAATGCAGGTTGACATGGCTCTACATGCATGTCTACTGGTGGCAAAAGCTTAAAATATTCACTTCCATTTCTAACACTTGTTAAGGGCTAATAACTTACATAAAGCCTGTCTCATAAATCAACCTTTTAACTAAAATGCTAATTAAGTTTAACTAAAGGGTGCTGTGATGTCGGCACACAGGCAAGTTACTAAGGGCTGTCTCACTATTCAGTGTACTAATCAGTTTTTATCCATTTTATTAAATGACACTGTATGATGACCCTCTAGAGAGAGGCTGAGAAAAAAAGAGAATCTCACACAGTTACAATGAAGACAAATCACCATGGTTTCTGACTCATTCATTTAAAGAAGGACGGTAATTTAATTGTCCAAACAAGAACATTGCTTGAATTTTGTCTGTCTCAACCAGTAATTTAACATTAGAGCTGAGGGCTACATGGCTGTATAAGCCTTAAACAAATTCAGAAACAATGTCAGAATATAAACAAGATGTCCGAATGTTGTTAACTACCGTATATATTCTAAAATAAGTGCTCTATAAAAATAAACATGCTTAGATACTAGGTCTTTACCTTACCCAAACTAAATATCTTTATTTTAATATAAATGGGCTTGTCCATCCTTCAAACTGGACATAACCATTTATCATTTTTAGGGAAATCGTCAAATGTTTTCACAACAGAATAGCTAACAGTCTAGCTGTAGATAGCATGGCAATGTAAAACTTCGCCCACTTATAATGCCTCTTTTAAATGCTATCATTTCTTTTTCTCAAAAACGTTTTTATTTTTGGCATCAATGTTAATACTACGTACAATACTACAATAAAAATACTCATTTGCCATACATATTTTGCTTCTTTTTCTTTGTTGGCAATTAGTATAATTATAGTGAATTAGTATTTTGTAAGGGTGTCAAAATACTAATTTGTTTACATTTTTCTACCTTTACCACATATTACTGCACATGTTGTGCTCCTGATCAATTATTAGAACATTTTATTAAATACATGTTGGACATTTTTAAAGAATGAAAAAATATGGATTTCTGACGCATAATGTTCCTGACATGTTGGTGTTCACACCAATCATTACCAAGATTGTTACATTTTTACAAATCTGAAAAGGATGGATAGTTCAAATCTATATGTACCCCCCTCTCCCCTCCCACCCCATAATCATTTAGTGGGAGAATAGAAATCAAGCCTGTCTGATGCACCCATATACTCATATAAGAGTAAGTATGGTAACAACATCTTCCTTTCTAAATGAAATTGCAGTTTTAGTTCAGAGGCTCTTTCAATAAATGCAGTCAATAAAAGCCATGATAGAATAGGAAATAAATGTGTAACAATCATTATTCATCATGAGATATCTTCTCCAATAGAAGCAAATGAGGCCCACATAACTGAATTGTTCCCTGGAGTATGGTGGAACTCATCACCAATCATAGTACCACACAAACTACATTCACTATAAACTTAATTCCTATAGGGCACTCACTGATCATGGAGGTTTCTGTACAAGATGAAACATATAGTAATAAAGCTAGGGATAGAGAACTTTATAATCCTGTCCATTGTTTATAATTTCCTCATACCATTTTCAGTTGAATACCCTTTTTTAGTTGAATAGGAAATGATACTTTTTTAATATCAAGTCATTTAAAAAAAGGTTGCATGTTGTGATCATAAATATCAGCTCTCTAGTAGCCTGACCCATCTTGATTTTTTTTCCTGTGTGTGACCCCTAAAAATTAGCACCATAGTAGAATCAATTCTGCCTTCCTCATTCTACCTTTACAGAATCAACCTGTGCAGACTGCGCCAAAAACACACAAAAACAATGTTGGTACAAGATAAAGTTTACACAGTTTATTTGTTACTAAAGATATTCAAATGTTTGTTTTGGTAGATAAAAGTATTATTACTAAGACAACTCCCCATACAGTAAGGTTCATGAACTCTATGCAATGAAGAGTAACTCCTTGTGGCCAGGTACAAAAACAACAGGTGTGAAGAAGGTAAATAATGCTAGTGCAGAAAAAGTTTATAGTTCTAAGTACAAATTATGGCACAGTTGTGGAAATTTTGACTTTTATAAAAAGTGTTATCATAGAGGTCATCCAGAACTGGGCAAATGTGGGTTATTCCCAGCTAATCCTACCTAAGGTACAAACCAACTTTTACTGTTTTAGCATCATGTTTATAATAGATACATTGTGCACTATTCATTGATTAGTCAACCTGTTGTGCTTATTTTCGAGGCTGTAACTGTAAAAGTTTGTTTGTACCTACAGATTATTATTAAGTCCGGCAAAAATAATAATAAACCTTATTAAGAAAGGGCAGGTGTTTTCAAGGCTCACAGCTGCTATCTAGGTGTGTGTTAAACCTGGAAACAAAGGACTTTTGGCCAGAATGATGCTTACAGGTGGACACTTAAATATTAACAGACCTTAATGAAATGTTAATTTAATAACCATAGACAGATTCTCATTTATTATTAACAAGAGAACATATGGTGCTAACTCTTGCCTGTTAAACATTCTAAGTTATCAAGGGACATAACCCCCAAAATACAGTTTTCAGAATTATTCCCCTTGTCAAACAATTGCATCTTGTTATGATAAACAAGTATTATAAGTTTCATGTTGATAACTTCAGAAATTGCCAATATATAATGTACCACATTAATATTTCTGCACGACAACAACGACAATGACATTTTTCATGTTTTACGACAATGACTATGCAGCGATCATATAAACTAGCGCAACTTTTTCTTCAAAACTGAGAATTGCTAAAAAGTGAACCAGAAAAAGTGTTGTTGGGTTCCGATTAAATTTATTCAAGAACTTATCATTATTAACAGACCACCCCAACATTTTCTAAAAGCTAAGAAGGAGAAGGCTTATATAATGCAGTGTGTCATGAGAGTGAACTAAGAATTATTGCCAGGGACTTTGGATTCTTTCATGTAAGGAAATTTTGAAGGTATCCTGAACTTGCTAAATGGAATGTCGATCAGGTTCTACCAAGGTCATCCCATTGTCTTCCTTCCACAACCAGTAAAGCCGGGAAGTCGCCATGATGACGTTTGCAGTGTTGCTGCTAAACCAACAACCAATAAACACACAAAAAAACTAAGAATAAGCAAAATTTAAATCATACAAATAAAGAATAAGTGAAACAAGAATACATTTTGGCACACAGTTAATATTATATTCATGAGTAAGCTTAGGTACCTATTAAAACCATTAAGGCATGAAACTGTCAGAAGTGTACCTAAATTAATATATCAAAAAACATTTCTAATGAATAACAACTTCACACAATTAAACAGCTGTCAATTTCTGTCCAATATTTGGCCTCAGAGTCTGCTAATGGTTATTTCATTGCAATGTGGGCTGATATAGGCTACTAAAGTATCCATGTAAATGTTCCAGACATGGACAACATAATTAATGGCTATAAATACAGAGAAAAAACATTGTGACAATGTCCAGACAGGTTTGACCTATTTCCTTATTTCTGTATACATGTGATACTTAGTATTGTCATATATTTAGGATAATAGATTAATTCAGAACCCTGCAAATGTTGGGTTTTTCACAACTTATCCAGTGACTACAAACAAACTTTAACCTTTAATACACCAGGATTATGGGATGTTCACGTCTTCTAAGGACTACAAACTTTTACCTGTGCACCCATTATAGCTCAATTCAATTTTAGTGAACTTACCCCTGTAAAATGTTGGGGTTTCACAACTTATCCAGGAGCAAGAAACTCAATTTTACACCAGCACCCATTCATATTCAATAAAATGATTTAAAGATATGAACCACAGTTACGGAAATTATAAATATATGCACAAAATTATGCAAATAAAACAATTTTCAAACATCAAAGAATATGTAAAATATGTTCTGCAAATATTTGTGCATATTATATGTAATCATTAAAATATATGCATTCATTTCTTATTGCAAAATTTGACTTGAACTTTATAAAAAATAATTTTTTTTATTACCTCCCTTTATTTACATGAAATGTTAAATTCAATAATATCTTTATAAATAATGCTTTTTGGAACCTACAATATTGATAAATCTTAATTTGAGCATCATATTTATTATTTAAAACCATAAAAAAATTGTGTTACATGATCTTTAAGAAATATTTCAATACCCCCACAACTATTACATTTCTGGCATATACTTGTAAATCAGTAGTCTGGCATGTTAAAATGTAAAAACTTATTTTCACTTTACTTAATATACACTTGATTGGTCTTATGTCACTTTTACCACTGTGCCTGTAATTAAGGCCCCCACGATTACACGTTTAAACGGGATCGTTTCGATTTTCATTCATAAACGTTTACGATATTGTTTACCGTTTAATCGAAATGACCATATTGTCTTACAAAATTTCTTAATCATTGCCTGTTATCATGGATTTTTGCCTGTAATCATGGATTTTAGCAATTCTAGTGGTTTATTCTAAAGTAAACAAACGGAAAATATGTGTTTACAACCCTCCACACAACATTACGGTGCAGCAGACATTTTCTCAAAAAATCTTACGACAATTTTTTGT